CGGAGGAAGTCGCGGCGGATCCGCAGAACAGCCTGAATGGCCCGAGCAGTCTCTTCCTGCGACGCATAGGCTGCGTCGCAGTCATCGCCAGGCTGAGGGGCACCAGCGTCTGCCCTCTTCACGAAGAGCAGAAGGCTGAGCTGATGGAGAAGTTTGGGATCGTAGCTCTCCTCGTACATCTGCGCCCAGTACTCCCTCATCTCACGATGCACTTCCTGCGCGCGCTGATGAACTTCATCGTCAAGCTCGTTGCGCTGCGGCGAAGGCGAGCGGCTTGGCATGGGTTGCCATTCTGGCGAAGGAGAACGGCTTGGCAAGGGTTCCCAGTCGACTTCAGTTTCGGCTTTGTCTGAAGCAGTATCGGCGACGACGAAATCTCCTAAGGCAATCTTCCGCTTCTTTGTCTCCTTAGGCTGAGAAGCACCAGGGGGATTAATGGTGATTGCAACAGCATCGTGGGAATCGTTGCGCATGCCACGGTCCTGGTACGATGCGCCAACAGCGATGGGCTTGAACTGCGCAGTGGCCCCAGAGACCGCCACGCTGTCACCTTGGCGATCACTTGGATGCGCAAACACATCCCGCAACTGCTCGTCATCGGTGTGGCGCTGCAGAGCAACGCGGGCCTGCGTGGACGTCAGGTTGTTGTCGCCGACAATGACGCGGACAACTGGTGCGTCCACTTGCGGACCTGGAAGGCTGTCCAGGTAGAGTCGGAGGAGCCTGGCCGCGCGTTGTTTGGTCAGCACCGACGGCGGCTTCGCTCCGCAAACGATGTGCAAGTTGGCAGTAATCAAATGAATTATACCATGGCCTTCTATTTGCACATCGAACCGTGTGATCGCCGCGTCCACATGTCTCCCGATTGGGATGTGATGGATATGCTTGTCTCCCTGCAGGGAAACATCGACAGGCTGAGAAGCGCCGCCGGATCCCCACAGGCATAGGTAGTTGTCAACCTCGGAGAAACAGACATTGTCGCCAAACCTTTTCGTCTGGATGTCTGCCGCGTCAGCCATCGCTTTGCTGGGGCCTTGCCGAGACGCACCGACTTCGCAAGCAAACAACAGATCAGCACCACCGTCCTGGACGATTGTGGCGCACACGCGGGCAACGTTGGAGAAGTGAGTGTCAGCCCTTTTCCCAGTCATCATATTCTGATCGAGTCCGAAGTTGAAGGAGGCGATCGTGAAAGACGCAGGCTGAGAAGCACAGCGACCAGTGGCGACCGCGGGCTCCTGTCGGCTTTCGTTCGCAGGCTGAGAAGCACCACGAGAAGCTGACGCTGAAGATGCCATCGCGAAACTGGCGCCTTTTCACAACAGAAGAGTACCGTGGCAAAAACTCTGTAAGCCAAAGACAGCTATGAAAAGCAAAAAAGGAACATGAGGATTCCATATGCTATCTTCTGATCCCACTAGAAAGCTATCAGCAAAAGCTGTTCGGTCTACTACTACTACTACTACTACTACTACTACTACTACTACTACAACTACTACTACTACTACTACTACTACTACGACTACTATTACTACTACTACTATTACTACTACTACTACTACTTCTACTACTTGTCCGAGAAACGTTTGGCCAACTTGTTTTCCTTCCGTTCTTTTTCAGACGTTCCTGTATTCTGCCTGGGTATCCGGCCAAACTGCTTCGCGTCCTCGACGAGCGTTTGCAGAGGTCCGCTCAATGCAGCGCGCTGAGGAGCAGCGCTGACGGCGCGCAACTCTGAGGACGGAGCGCCCTCGAGGGCTTGCAATTCAAGCATAACGTCATTGGGGATGCTGGCGCGATGGTTTGAGAAACGTCTGGCCAACTTGTTTTCGGCTTGTGCTTCTTCGGGCGTTCCTGTATTTTGCTTCGGTATCCGGCCGACTTGCTTCACGTGCTGGACGAGCGTTAGCAGAGGACCGCTCAATGCAGCGCGCTGAGGAGCAGCACTGTTCAATGCCGCAGGCTGAGGAGCACCGCTGTTCAGTTCAGCAGGGTCGGGAACACCGCGGCCAGACCGAGAACTGCCAGCATGCCGTGGCATTATGGTGTGCAGTAGGCGCTGAGCAGTTCCTTTGAAAGCAGGGCTCCAGCCAAGAAGGCTACGAAGAGAGTGATGACGATGATGGTGATGATGGTGGGCATCGTTTGTGGATGTGCTGCTTCCTCCTCCTCCTCTTGGAAGAAGTGTATGGGTCTCCGGGCCATCAATGTATGGTACAGGTTTTCTTGTTCCGGGCACTCGAAGAAGACGATGTAGCCTACAGTTGGCTCCGGGCATTGAAAGTGTGGCCCGGGCACGGAGTTCTGGGAACTACTACTACTATTACTACTACTACTACTACTACTACTACTACTATTACTACTACTACTACTACTACTACTACTACTACTACTACTACTACTACTACTACTACTACTACTTACTACTACTACTACTACTACTACTACTACTACTACTACTACTACTACTACTACTACTACTACTACTACTACTACTACTACTACTACTACTACTACTACTACTACTACTACTACTACTACTACTACTACTACTCTACGAGTAGAAGGGAGAAGGGAAAGGACGGAGAGGAAGGGCTCGGAGACCCTTGGAGGGGGGGATGTGCCCATCCGAGGGAACGGTGCACCCCCCCCTCCCCGTCGTCAATTCGAGGGAACCAGCCATGGCAACGACCCCCCTCCTATCCCCCTCCGCGACCTGAGTAGACCACCCAGGCCAGCGGAGGACGTCATAGGAGGCAAGGGTTCTGACGTCGATGAGAGAAGAAAAAGGAGGAGGAGAGGCGTGACTACTACTACTACTACTACTACTACTACTACTACTACTACTACTACTTACTACTACTACTACTACTACTACTACTACTACTACTACTACTACTACTACTACTACTACTACTACTACTACTACTACTACTACTACTACTACTACTACTACTACTACTACTACTACTACTACTACTACTACTACTACTACTACTACTACTACTACTACTACTACTACTACTACTACTACTACTACTACTACTACTACTACTACTACTACTACTACTACTACTACTACTACTACTACTACTACTACTACTACTACTACTACTACTACTACTACTACTACTACTACTACTACTACTACTACTACGACGAGTAGAAGGGAGAAGGGAAAGGACGGAGAGGGAGGGCTCGGAGACCCTTGGAGGGGGGGATGTGCCCATCCGAGGGAACGGTGCACTCCCCTCTCCCCGTCGTCAATTCGAGGGAACCAGCCATGGCAACGACCCCCCTCCTATCCTCTTCCGCGACCTGAGTAGACCACCCAGGCCAGCGGAGGACGTCATAGGAGGCAAGGGTTCTGACGTCGATGAGAGAAGAAAAAGGAGGAGCGAGTAGAAGGAGGAGAAGAGGCGTACGAGTACTACTGCGACTACAATGGCGTGTTCTCCACAATGCGTCCCGGGAATGGAATTCTGGGAGGTGGAAGAGCAGGAAGTGGCGTGCAGTTGGCTCCGGGCATCCAAAATGTGCGCCACGAGCGGCAGGAGTGGCATTCGGCGATGGCGTTCGGGGCAGTCGAAGAGCACGAAGTGGCCTACAGTTGGCTCCGGGCATTCAGAATGTGGCCCGGGAGTTGTGTTCTGGGAAATCGAAGAGCACGAAGTGGCCTACAATTGGCTCTGGGCATTCAGAATGTGGCCCGGAAATGGCGTTCTGGGAAGTCGAAGAGCACGAAGTGGCCTACAGTTGGCTCCGGGCATTCAAAATGTGGCCCGGGAATGGTGTTCTGGGAACTCGAAGAGCACGAAGTGTGTGACTGTTGCGTCCGGTTATTCAAAATGTGGCCCGGGAATGGAGTTCTGGGAGGTCGAAGAGCACGAAGTGTGTGACTGTTGGCGAAAAACGAGCCCGGTTCGTCCGCCCGGCGTCCGCCCGGCAGCTCGCCGACATCCGCCCAGACCCCCCTGTGGAGTAAGCTGCTGCCCTGTTTTGATCCTACTAGAAACCTATCAGTCTACGTTGTTAGGTAAAAAAACACACATTCTTGCATCGATGTAACGTATCGTAAACAGCCCATGGCAAATCCAGGCCATTTGCGAGTAGTTTCTCTGCGAGTAGTGGAACGCGCTAGGCCAAAGGTGTTGTAACGTGTCGATGTGGGTGGGGGCAGCGGAGTGTCTTGCGCGGAAGCATGGTCCGAGAACAACGGCGCCTCGGGTGGACCAGGGCTTCCGCGGCGGCGCCAAACAAACGTTCCATGCCTGTGTGGTTTGGGGGGACATGCGGGCCTACAGCGGAAACCCATGCCAAGAAACACCTTGTTTCCCTCCAGGGTGCCCTGGGTGTCCTGGGTTTCGATTGTTTTTTGCCGTGGAAAGCGCGACGCTCCCGCACCAGGGATCGGCGGAGCGTCCTGCGGTCTCGGGGTTGGGCTTCTTTGTGGCGGGTGTCTTGTGGACTGGCCCCCACGGCAGTCTTCTCGCGTGGCCGTGGGCAGCCGGGGACCCGGAAGCTGGTCGTCAGGATTCATTGGCCGGTCGCCCGCGCGGGCCCTTTGAGGGGGTCGCTGCGCGTCCAGAGTCGGCCAGGCCTCCGCAACGCTTGTTGAGCGCATTTCCCTGCGGAAATCGGAGAGTCTCGGAGGCGGCAAGGGTACCTGCACCTCCACCCTTCGCCCGTTTTCCCCTTTTAGGGCCTCCTGGGAGGCCCTTGTCGCCACTGCTGGATTCGCTCCGAAGTCCTGGTCAGAACGCGCCCAGGAGAGGTCCGGGGAGTAGCGGTATCGGTATCTTCTGGTTTCTCCAGAGTCATGAATGAACACATAGACACTCCATTGTTGGCCCTTCGCCAGAAACGATGCGCGCCCACATGAAGGCTTCAGTTTTGCAGCCAATGTGCGTTGGCTTTCGAGGGACCGGGACGATCATTGATCCTTTTACCCTCTCCTCCTCTTTCAACGCAACGCGCCCAGCATCGCCCCGCATCTCAAGGCGGCCCAGCCCGGTCGCTCGCCGACATCCCCGTGCGCTTCATGTGGACCAAGGAACGCGTAGGACAGCGGTTTGGCTTTGTGTCCAGCGCGGCTATTTCTCGCCGTCCGTCGTGGGATCTTTCTTTTGGAATCATTCAGGCCATAGAGCGCGCGAATATGCAGGATGGCACCATGAATCTCATCTACAGATCTGTGCGAGATCTTGTCAGATGTTGGTAGTTCTTGTAGGCGGTCAGGGCCATATAATCGGCACGAGGTCGTATTGGCACGAGGTCGTATTGGCAGTTTTGGGAGCCCCAGGTGTGTCGAACCAACGGGGAAGGATGCCTTGCGCGACCGCACGACCTCTGGTGGTAACGATGGGCAATGTAACTTACGCACCCACTGAACAAACACACGCTGGTCGTTCAAAGTAGGTACTTTTGGAGTTCCAGGTTCCAATCTACCTTAAGCGCCTTCCTGCTTCAAGAGTCGAGTGGTTCTCCCTTTTTCCCCCCTCTTCAGGGGATGCGCGGAAGCCCAATCTGCTTTCAACGCCTTCCTACGCAATGTTCCCAGCACCTCTTTCGACCGAGGGGTGCTCGCTGCTGCTTGCATGTTGTATTGAGATGGAGTTTCCGAGACGCTCTCGGGGGTGCGTTGGCCGTCTCTGGCCCCGCGATTCGCTCATGCGGTGCGCCTCGCGGCGCGGTGGCCCTCGCTTCCTTGCGGAGCGGAGAGCGCCGTCCGTTTGGAACGGTCCTTCGGCGTGCCCGCTGGCAGAGCTGCACACCTGTCCTCGTGGCCTCGAGAGGAAACAACGACAGCCTTCCAGTGACCTCCGTGGCATCGAGAGCTTCGGAGAAGCCTTCATGCCCAGGGGCCTTCGGAGGGCATCCGGTGCCCTCCGTTCCGCAGGAGCATGGCCCGGCGCCGCCAACAGGGCCCGAATCTCCAGGCTAGGAATCTTCCAGGGGATGTCCAGCTTGAGCATGGCACGGAGCCGCCAACCTGCAGCGAGGGGCAGTCCCCTGTGCCCAGCCTCCAGGGGCCCCCAGATGCTGCAACTCCGTCTGTCAGGTCGTCCGGCAGGTTGGGGACACGCGCCCTCCAGTTTTTCCAGGCACGGGGATGAGGAAGAGAGTGAGTCGCCGTGGGGGACAACAAGTCCTGAGGAGAATGGGTCCTGAGGTTTCTTCCAGCCGTCTTCGGGCTCTCGGAGCCCTCCACGGCCCCGGGGAACTTCAGAGAACAACTCAGGATGAATATCTCGTCCTGGCGGAAGGTCCTGGGGTCCAGGACCCGTTTCCCTCAGGAATCGCTTCCCCATGCTGAGAGGAGTCGAGGATTTGGCCCAAAGTGCTCCCCAGTTGTCGTCTCGCTATTTGGGAGCCCTTGGGGCCCTCTTGGCATTGTGAGGGGTGCTCCGGAGGCCAGCTGGGCGTAGGTTGAAATGCTGGGGCTACCCTGGGGCCAGGGTCACGTCTGGCAACGCCCGAAGGTAAGGGCTCCCACGAGGGCGCGAAGTTATTCGCGCTTCGCGGTCCTCGTTCCTTCTCCCCCTCCTCCTCGTCCTCCTTTCCTCCCTTTGGGGGGGCGACGCGAGAGCGCGAAGTTATTCGCGCTTCGCGGAGCGCGAAGCGCGAAGTTGGGAGCCCTATGAAGGAGGGCGGACGAAGAGACGCAACAGCGGGACCAGGAAGACGCGCTGCCCAGGGCGCCGGGGAGGGCCCCTTTGCCCGAGGCCACGCCACGCCATCGCGCGGCCCCACAGGGCCGACGCCCCGCCACGGGTGCGCCATCGCAGCCACACGATGTCTCCTGCACAGCGCCAGGCCACAGCGAGCGGTGCTGCGCAGGGAAAGGCCACGCGGCGTGACCAGAGCGGTGAGCCACCTTCTGCATCCTCGGAGCCGTCCTGGCTGGCCCACGTGAACCAGAGAGGTCATCAACAGGCCAGCCTCAACATCGGGCGCCAGTGGCAGTCTTCGTGGCGACGTGCCGCTCTGCATCTCGTGATCGGCGCTTCTACCCATCGCAATGCAAACGAACGTGAGGAGAGCTGACTAATACTTTGCGTTGGCTCCAAGGAGGTATGACACTGACACAGTCAGCACTCACTGTAACAGCAACGGCTAGGACGCAACGGATATTACTACATCTGTTGGTCATGCAGTAGAGGTAATCCCGAACCAGTACAACCACATAAAAGACCACAACGGCACTTGCAACGTATTTGCAGCCCCTTGCAGCCTATGGCATGCACAGACATCCATGACATCTACAGACCTCCCCGACGGTAACGGTACCCACGTCGACCTGCACGGCAACCAGTCATTGCAGTCTTGACCTCGAGAACTACCATACGAGGACCTACATCGCGTGCAGTGGAACGCTGCACGCATCAGAATGAACCGACACCGCCGACTGAACCCATCGGATTCCAGTAATCGATGGCGGATCGACAGCCGACAGCCACCTCCACAACACGACAGCAACGGGCTCCACCAATCGGCGACAGACAACGTCCGCAGCAGCGGACAACACCAACAAACAGCAGTCGTTGCAGCGCACGCCCTTGCACACAGCGGCTGTTCTCCAGCATCTGTGACCTCACGAAGTCCGGTGCCAATGGACGTCCATGCCACGGTCGATCAGCAACCGCACGTCTCCATCGGGGGACGCCGTATGCGCGCCAACCTGCTCTCTTGCTCCGTTGCGCCAGTTCGCTCCCTTGCTCCGTCTACGTCCTGCGTGTTCTTGTGCCGCCCCGTTGCTTGCGCTTGTGCTGCGCGGACCCGGGACCCGCGCGCTCCCAATGTTCAAGAGCAAGAGGCAGGAGCGCGAGTGCGGACGAGGAGGATGGAGCCAGACGAGGCGGAAGTAGAGTTGTAGAAACGAGGAGAAGGAGGAGGAGGAGGAGGAGGAGAAGGAGGGAGAGGTCAGGCAGGCCTGGCTCCAGATCGTCCTGGGACGCTTCCAGGGCGTTCCAGAGCGCCCTGAAACTGCCGCGGTGCCCGAGACGCGTGCTCTAGACCCGCAGGCTCTCGGAGATCCCGAATCCTGTCTGGCCGATGTTTTGTCTCTGTGCGGCTTCCGTCTCGCAAGGGGTGCGGAATGCTCGGAGGCGGCGCTTGGTCGAGGGACGCCAACGACTACAGTTGAAACCGAGAAGGATGGGTAAACTTGACGGGTGCACTTGATTCTTGAATCCTTGCCTCTTCGAATACTTTCGATGGCCAGCCCCTCTCGAAAAGCTTTGACATGTGCGTCCAAGGGGCTTGCATCCTTCGCGCATCCTTCCTATCGGTTTTGACTGTGCACCTGCACCGTTCCTGCCCAGGGCCCCTCCTGGGCCTGGGATTGGTGATTGGTGCACACGCCCCCCCAGCCTTGGCCAGGAGCGGTGCCAGGTCTATACTTTTGCGCCCTCCTACGATAGGTTCGCGTCGTGTCCACCGGCGGCGACTCCGCCGCCGGCGTCCAACGTCGAACACCGCCGGCGATCCAGAATCGGTCGATATTGAACGATCTGACGCTTCGAGAACAGCCGATCGTTCAAGGCCGAACTATCCCCGCGGTGTCGGGAGCCAGCATCGGGGTCGACACGGCACGAACCTGCTGTACTTGCGACGCCGCAAACACGGCACTTGCCAGCCGACCACGAGAACGAGGGCAGGGCTCGGGAGCAGCAGCTGCGCCAGGAGCCGACTGGCGAGGTGTAGGGGGGGGGCCCTTGGTCGGCGGGCTGGCCAGGCTCTCACGCCGCCTTCCCTGGGCCAGGCGGTCACGTGTGCGCCGTGCCCCTGTCTTCATCGGGGGCTGCCAAGGGGGGAGGGGGGCGACTTGGAGGGTTTGACATCGCGGCTGGGGCCATGGCATCTCCCCGGGTCTGATGGGCCCCTCTCCTCCTTTCGGTACGCCCCTTGGCCCCCCGTGGGCCGCGCACGCGCCTCGGGCCGTGGTCTGCGATCCCTCCTCCTGGACCCCCTCCTCGTGGGCGCCCCCGATGTCAGGTTGCAGTTCCTGGGAGGCTCAATTTCAATATCGGTCTTAGCATCCCCATGCTGACAATCTGGCCTGGTCCGCCCTGACCTGTCCGGGAAGCGTAAGACTCGAGCAAGCCGGAATTCGGGTCTGCCGACGTTTTGTTGACGAGCGCGTCCTGGATTTTGACGGTCCAGTTTTGGTGGGATGTTTGCAGCGGGTGTTCGCATCAAATTTCAGATTGGGTCTCGTCATTTTTATGATGGCCCCGTCAGGCCAACCCGAGTCCCCCGTACCCGAGTCTTACGTCTTCCCGAACCTGGCTCAATCTAGCTTGGTTGTTGGCTGGGTCTGGCCTGACTCGGCCCGGCCGCCCCTTCAGATCTGGCTCCCTCAAGATTCATTTTGCCCACGAAGGCCTCCAAGGAGTTGCCAACCAGCCTGAAATCGGGCCTGTCCCTCCACAGGAGGAATATCCAAAAGTAGTAAAACAAAAATAGTCAGGGGACGATGGTTTCAGTATTTTTGAGTATGTTTGGCTATTTCTTATGTTTCGTCCAATATCCGCCTGTAGTGGAGCATGTCCGACCTCAAACCAGCCCTATTGCTGATCGATTTTGACCAGTCTGCACTCACCCGTGGGGGGCCCACTCCGCTCGCTCCTGCTCGCAGTTTTTGAGCCCACGCTGATGAACCTCTACTGGTCCAATGGATTGGCAGGCTTCACATGTGGCTACCGACACGTGCTCTCGTTTCGTTCGGGAGTCCGTGCGTGCAAGGGGGGTGCGAAGACGTCGTTGCCTTGTGGAAGTCGATCAATGGAGAGGAAGCATGCTGCCAAATGATTTCCAGATGTCAACAAATGCTTCAAACATGTATTAACGATGTAAAAAACATGTTTGAAACAGTTTTAGAACATATTCTATACATTTTTAAGACATCTTTAACTCACTTTTAGGATTATTAGAGTGTCCATTGTCATGGAGAGAGCGTGATCCACCGCCGCTTTACTGTGGAAAATTGCCAACCTTTTCCTCCGGAACCTGGGAGTCGCCCCCCCCCCTCCGAAAATCCCCCCCCCCCTGCTGGACCCCCCCCCCCACTCCCCCCTTCCCCCGGCAAAACCCCCCCCTTTCCTAACCCCTCCCCCCCCCCCCCCCTCCCCTCTGGAAACCGGGGGGGTCACTCCGGTTCGAACCCCTCCCCCCCCCCCCCTCTGGATCCGGAAACCGGGGGGGTCTTCCCGGTTCGAACCCCTCCCCCCCCCCCTCGAAAACCGGAGGGGGGTCACTACCGGTTCGACCCCCCCCCACGCACCGCCAGCAAACGACTCCCGGTCCCTACCACCGTCCGCATCACATCCCCCACTGTTGTTCCCAGCACCACTGTCCTCACCACCACTGTCCCCACTGGTTCCACCACCGTCCCTACTGTCCCCACCAGTGCCCCCACCACTGTCGCACTGTCCCCACTGTTCCCACCACTGTTCCCACCACGATTCCACTCTCCCCACTGTCTCCACGGACCCAACCACTGCCTATCCCCACTGTCCCCACTGTCCCACTGACTCCTCCGCTGTCCCACTGAGCTGTCCCACTGTTCCCACCACTGTCCCCACTGTCCCCACCACTGTCCCCACTGTACCTCTGTCCCATTGTCCCACCGCCGTCCTCGCCACCGCCTTCACCACTGTCCCCACCACCATTGTACCCTCCACTGTCCCACTGTTTCCACCTCATTCCCACTGTCCCCACACCACTGTCCCCACCACCACCGTCCCCACCACTGTCCACTGTCCCCCCTGTTCCCACCATTGTCCCCACCACTGTCCCCACCACTACCGTCCCCACCACTGTCCCACTGTCCCACTGTCCCCACCACTGTCCCGCTGTCCCCTCACCACTGTCCCCACCAACACCGTCCCCACCACTGTCCGCACCCCCACTCGGTTTTCGAGGGGGGGGGGGTTCGAACCGGTAGTGACCCCCCCCCCTTTTCATGATGAACTGGGGGGGGGGGGAGGGGTTCGAACTGGTAGTGACCCCCCCCGGTTTTCCGGAGGGGGGGGAGGGGTTCGAACCGGTAGTGACCCCCCCCGGTTTTCCGCCAGCAGCGGTAGAGCACGTTCTTTCTTGTCATGGCATCCACAAACGTGGCCGTCCACGTCGTCGTTTCGGGAAGTTTCCGGGCGCGCATTGAAGGTCTTCGTCGCCATGGTTGGACACGGCTCGGGAAATTTCCAGCATGGATCCCCGCACGGGTCCGGGGACCCGTTCTGCACGGGTTCGGGCACGGGTTCGGTGGGGGGGGGGCGGCATTCTAAGAAGGCAGAGGGACTGTCAGAAGCCTTCCTGCCTTATCAGGGGCCTTCTCGCAAGCCTCCTATTTTTCCTGGAAGCCTGCTCGACAGCCTCTCGAAAGCCTTCTCAGAGGCCATCCTCTGCCTTCTGAGAAGGCCGCCATCCTCGCCCCACCCCTCGGCGCACCGCCAAGGAGTCCTGCAGGCAACCTCAGCTGTGCGTATTACTATTTGAGCATTCTGGAGCATCGTCGAGGGTTCCTGCGTCGAGTGGGCCCCCCTCACCTGCCTGGTGTCGCCCCCTTTGTAGCAAGTGTGCTTTTCGCCTGGTCGAATCGATTGCTCGTTGGTTTCATTGATTTCAGCTTTCCGTTGAGATGCGAATCTGAACGCATGATCACGTGCACGTATGGTGTGCGAATGGATTTGGCTAAGCATGTGATCTGGAGTTCGCGCGTGCGTGCGTTGAGATGTCGGACCAAAATGCATGAGTGGATTTGGTTTTGCGCATGAGATCGTGTTTCATACGTGGTAGTACAGTCTATGTGCAGAGAAGGTGGAGAAGCTCGAATCGATTATTGGGCTTACGCCACACCACCGACCCCTAGGGGAACTGGCGGTTGCTGTGTGTTGCTCCTGAGGGCCTCTTGTGCTGCTTATGGGGGGTTCTTGGAGTTCTTTTGGGGCTTCATGGGGGCCTCTCGGGGGGCCTTTTTCGGGGCCTCTTGGGGTTGACATCATCATTATGCGCCGTGCACGCATAGGGCCTCTTGGAGCCCTCTTGGCCTGTTTTGGGGCCTTGTGACCCCCCGATGAACCCCAAGGGGTCGGCGGATTTTAGTCACCATTCCACCACCAGCTGGATCCTGGATCCATCTTGATTTCTACACCTGCGTGTACGTACACATCCTCGCTCGATATTATTTTGCATGTGCAACCACGTGCACGTTCGCATCGGGATGTTGAACAGTACTTTGGTCGTTTCACCACAGAACGATCTCTGTAAATTCCCTAGCTTTGCCGTAGACATTTGCATGAAGTGCGCATGTGTGTGTGTGTGTGTGTTTGTGCGTGTGCGTATGTGTGTGTGTGTGTGAGAGTGTGTGTGTGTGTGTGCGTGTGCGTGTGCGTGTGCGTGTGCGTGTGTGATTGTGTGATTGTGTGAAGGTGTGAATGTGTGAATGTGTGAGTGTGTGTGTGTGTGTGTGCGTGTACGTGTGCGTGTGCGTTTGCGTACTTGCGTTTGTGTGTTTACACATTTGTGCGCGCTATTGTCCCGCAGCAGCATCTAGCTGGCTGCCTCCGACAACTCCGCCGCCGTGCCAACGCAGCATTTTGGGTGGCAAGTACTCGAGAAGGCAAGGGGCCTGCTGGGGGCCCTTTGGAGCAGAAGCCCCGAATGCTTGATCCGTGTTCCCGCTCTTAGGCCCTTCTTGGGGCCGTCTGGGGACCCTCTTAGGCAGGCGTGGGCGCCTCCTGGGCTATGTTTGAGCCTTCTTGGGCCGTCTTGGGGCTCTCCTGGGGTTCTTGAGGGTCTCTTGGGCCGTATTGGAGCGTGGGAAGCTCGAACAGGCTACGGACAATTGATGGTGTTTGTCTCTCGGAGCCCTCTTGGGGGCCTCTTGGGGGGCCTCTTTTGACCAGCTTGAGGTTTCCTGAGCCCTCGTGTGGCGGAAAGCTAGATTTGTCGGTTCGCGTTCACCTTCTTGGGCCACTCTTGGGGCCCTTTTGGGCATTCTTGGGCGCTTCTTGAGCCGTCGTGGAGCCCTCTTGGGCCACCTTGGGGGACTCTTGGACCGTATCTGGGCAGTTCTGGTGGCCTCTGGGGTTGTCTTCGGACGTCGGAAGCTAGAACTGGCGACAACCCAGAAAACCTTGAAACATCTTAAGCAAATCATTGATGTGTGCGTCTCGAGGCCCTCTTGGGAAGGCTCTTGGAGCTCTCTTGGGACGCCTCGACGACCTCGTTGGCCTTCTTGAAGCCATCTTGGGCAATCTTGGAGCGCTCTGCGGCTATCTGAGCGGAATTCGTGGCTTGCTCGGGCCGTCTCGGACGCCATTCTAGGCATCTTGGACGCCTTGGATAGCGCCAGGGAGGTGTGAGGAACCCAGGGAGCCTCGGGAAAGAGGGCGCGGTGCATGAAAGGGCGTTTTGAGGGAGGGTCCATGGGTCAATTGCAGAAGCCCGACCAGACAGACCTTGCCATTCCTCCACGCCTCAGCGTGCACAAGGCACGGCGGCGGATCTGGTGGCCTTCGGTCAGCCCGACATCGTTCTATCGGGTCGCGCGCGGACGACGGGCCTCCTTTAGAGAAGTAGATTGGCACGGAGGGTTGCGTGGTGGTTTCTTGGGGTCCCTCTTAGTGTCTCGCTCGGTTCTTGGGGTCCTTCTTCGGGTTGCGTGGTGGCTTTTTGTTTCGTGGTGGCTTCTCTGGAGCCACTTGAGGCCTCCTTGGCTCTTGTGGGAGCTTTGTGGCCGCGTTTACGGGGGCCTCTAGTGGGCCTGTTGGGGAAATCTGGCCCATCTTGGAGGGAAGGCTTGCATCGGTCTGGCGGTGATGCGCTTTTGGGGGGTCCCTCTCGAAGCGCTCTTCGGGGCCTCTTGGGCCACTCACGGGAGCCTCGGGGGCAGTTGGGGGGCAGTCCTGGGCCCCCTGGGGTTGTCTTGCACGCTGTTGAGGCCGAAAGAGCGAGTCTGCTGACATCCGACGTGGTTGTTTTGGTTCAAGCCGTGTCTTTTCAACACTCGTCACGCAGCACATCTCACCGCGAGGTGGGACGCGCCCTGGCTCGGGATGAGCTGCGCCACCGGCGGCCCTGCCATAGTCCGCGTTGTGAACGCGTTGAGCAGTGCTGAAGTGTGTCGGGTCAGTGTGGATAGGGGGCCACATGCGAACCCTACCCCTACCCCCCACGATTTCTGAGGGGGAGGGTGGGGTTCACTTCGTTCGGGAGCTCCCGAGCGAAGTGAACGCCACCCTCCCCCTCAGAAGTCGTGGGGGGTAGGGGTAGGGTTCGCATGTGCCCCCCTAGTGGACCCAGCGAGCACCGTCGCAGACGTGAAGCGCGCGGTCTCGAGCAGAGTCGGGGGCGAAGCGGCCATTCGCCTCTTCAGCAGAGGGGCGGCGTTAAAGCACTGGCATCTGATTTCCTCGCTCCCGCTGCCAGAGAGCTCGGGCGTCCAGACCGTAGAGGTGGTCAGAGTACCTCACCCGCTGCTGGTCACCGCCTCCTCAGACGCAACCGCACGAGTCTGGAAGCTCACCACGGGCGAATGTTGGCGCGTGTTGGTGGGCCATGCGGGCACAGTGAAGTGCGCAAGTGTAAGTGCTGACGGTGAGACTGCTCTCACAGCCTCTAGCGATCGTACCGCCAAATTGTGGTCGGTAGAGCGCGGCGAGTGTCTACGCACCTTCGCGGGGCACACCGGCGGCGTCCTTTGCGCCGCCATGGGCTTCGACAAGGTCTTGACAGCGTCCGAGGACGGGACTGCGAGGCTCTGGTCGCCTGGCGACGGTGAGTGCATTCGCATTTTTTCTGGCCACACGAAGACCGTCTGCTCGGCAGCCTTCAGCCCAGATGGGCTCAGCGTCGCCACTGCCTCGGAGGACGGCACTGTTGGGCTGTGGTCGGCGGTGAGCGGCCAGCGCTCTCTGGAGTTGCGGGGCCACAGGGGTAGCGTGACGTCCGCCGTGTTCGGCTCCGACGGCTGCATGGTGCTCTCCGCCTCCGCGGACTGCACCGCGCGCCTGTGGTGGGCGGACTCCGGCGAGTGCCTGCAGGTCCTGGGGGGCCACCGCGACCCCGTGCGGAGCGCCGTGTTCGGACTCAACAACCGCGCAGTGGTCACCGCATCTGGCCGCAGCGCCCGGCTGTGGGCCGCCGTCGGCTGGGAGTGCTCGCAGGTGCTCCGCGGGCACGCGGGCCCTGTCCGCTCGGCCTCGTTCACGCCCGACGGCCGCGCCGTGGCTGCCGCGTCCGACGACGGCACGGCGCAGCTGTGGGCTGCAGAGGACGGCGAGTGCCTCCGCACGCTGGACCGCGGCGAGCGCAGGGTCCGTGCCGTGGCCCTCAGTGCCGACGGCAGGCTGGCCGGGACGGCGCCGTCGGGCGGTGCAGTGCGGCTGTGGGCGATGCCGACGGGGGAGGTGGCGCGGGAGCTGCAGGGCCATGGCGGCAACGTCCTGGGCCTCGCCTTCTCGCCAGACGGCTCGCGGCTGGTCACTGGCTCCGCCGACGGTACCGCGCGGGTGTGGGCGACGGACAGTGGCCGCTGCGACGCGGTCCTGGACGCGGGCGGCGGAGGAAGGGTGTTATCGGTAGCGTTCAGTCCAGATGGGCAGGAGGTGGCAGTCGCGTCCAGCACTGGTGCGTGCAGCGTGTGGGCTGCCGGGGAGGGCACGAGTCTTCTCACCCTAGAGGGCAACTCCGATGCTGCTTGCTCGGTGGCCTGGAGCCCAGACGGCCGCGCGCTGGCGACAGCCTCGTCGGAGGGTGCGGCCATGCTTTGGGCCCGCGACAGCGGCCAGCGCATGCGGGCGCTGGAAGGCCACCGTGCCAGGGTGCGCTGCGTTGCGTTCGGCCTGGACGGCCACGCGGTCGCGACGGCGTCGGACGATCGCACCGCCAAGCTGTGGTGCCTGGAGAGCGGGCAGTGCGTGCGAACGCTGCGTGGCCACAAGGGCGAGGTGCTCTGCGTGGCCTTCAGCCCAGTCGGAAAAGCTGTGGCGACCGCCTCTGCGGACTCTACAGTCAGGCTGTGGTCCGCAGTGGCCTGGCAGCTCCTACGTACCTTCACGGGGCACTCCGGGAGAGTGCTCGGCGCGGCGTTCAGCCCGAACAGCCAGGCAGTGGTCACCGCATCAGAGGACCGCACGGCCAAATTGTGGTCGCTGGACACTGGGCGCTGCTTACGCACATTTTCTGGCCACGAGGCGCGGGTCAATTCCGCCACTTTCTCGACACAGTAGCAGATTTCGCCAAGCTGCCAGCTATTGGAGGGCGGCGCGCTTTCCTTGGTAGGCAATAACTCAGACTCTTGCGCTGAAATCTCAGACATAGATACCATATTCAGGCTTCGATCTAGGTTGCGCAGCATCTGTAGCAGACGCGGCCTGCCACATTGACACGCCGGTTTGCCTCGGTGTGTCGGGTGTGCACAAATGGGGTGCACAGAAAACGTCTTTCTGAGCCCTTGTTTCATAGAAGTCTTTGTAATGTAGCCCTGAATCGTTTGATCGACTCTTGTTCGCGTAAACGAGTAAGTGTGTTTGCGGTTCGGTCGGCCTGGCTGCGTTGCAGTCGATTGCGTTCGATCGGTCTGGTTCGGTCAGGGGTGTGTCGTTGATGTGTCGCTGCGCCCTTCTTGGTTGCGTGCGGCCCGTCGGTTTCGGTCGGATTCGGTCTGTTGTCGGTTCTGCTGTCGCCGTGGACGGTTATGTACCCAGAGTCGGCCGACATCGAATGATCCGCGCTATCAGAAGGCCGCGATCGTCACATGGCGTCACAACTTCTTGACGCTTCGCGTATCCCCACCACCCGCTGCGAGTGTTGTCCGCTGGAATCCGCGGCAATCTCGCGCCAATTAATGACGTACCGCGCCCCGGACGTTTTGCTCGCTCCCTGTCTTTCGCCTCGGAGCCGCGGACCAAAAAAAGTATCCCCACCACCGCGTGGCCGTGGCCCACCGCCTCCCGCCGCTCCTCGCCTCCGCTGGCGCACCCTCCCCGGTCCTCGATGTCCTCCTGGGGCGTCGGGGCCGGTGCCAGCGGCCACGCTGCGGCATGGGCTGCCGGGCTGGACTGGCCCCCCGCGCCATCGCCTTCGCCCGGCTGAGTGGCGGCGCCTCTGCCTGGGGTTACCGCTCTTTCCAGGGCGCGCCGTTTGCACCGCCAGGCCGCCTCGCCGACTGGGCGCGCATTGGCTGGTGGGCGCCTCCCTCAACACTGGGCCCCGCGTCTCCACTACGCCTGATGTGCCCCTTTCTTACGTGAGTGGTGGCTCGTGGCACTGCGCTGTGCCGCCTCCGTCGGGTCGCTGGCCTGGCTGTCGACTCCCGCTGCGGCGCTCGCTTTGCCCTCCATTCGCTTTTTCGTGGTCGTCGAGAACTTGCACGCCGCCTCACTTGCTTGGTCCCTTTGGAGTTGGTCGCGTACTAATTCATCCGCCGTTTTGGTGTGCATCGAGGCCTTCCTCCTGGCCTTCGTCGGCTTCGGCGTGTACCACCTGGTTTTCAGCGTCGGTTTCTCCTCCTGAGTAGCAGCGTAGCCCGCTCCTGTCGCTTAGGGCCTAATTTAGCCCGCTGCTCGTTAGCTGCGCGCTGTGTTGACGCCGGGCGATGTGCCGCTACGGCCGCGATCAAAAAACCTGCCAGCCCATCCAGAAGCAGATCGCCAGGCGTGTTGCCTTGATCAGGGACGCGTGGAGAGTAACAACCGCCGTGGAAGCGTTTTCTCGGAGGTCTCTGGTTGCCATAGTGGGGCTCATTTGGGGTCCTCGCGGAGCCTCTTGGGGCACCTTTGATGCCTTCTCGGGGATCTTGTGGGGCAAAATTCAACAGGCGCACGACACATGGTGCTCACACGGGTGGACAGGAGCCCGGGCAAATTCTGGACGCGCGATGTTGAGCCTTATCCTTCTTCGTTTCTGCAGTCTGTTTTTTCCCGAGCATTGTAACATAATATCAGTGTTCTCGAACTTTGCCGCTCACGGCTGTTGATTGCTTAGTTGGTTTACGCGACTAATGCCAGGAGTTCGTCCAGGTGGTTCCGTTATTTCCCTTTCTTCTCCCGTTCGTGTGGTGGTATTGCGTGTGTGTGTGTGTGTGTGTGTGTGTGTTAGTGGTGCCGTGCTGTGTCGCCGTGCGATCGTCCTTCCCCTCGCTCTCAGCCGAGCTTCGCTCGGGGGCCGCCATGTCCTACTCGACTGCCTGGCCCGTGACACACAGTTCCCGGTCTGGCATTGCAGCACGATGTTGATGATGGTAAAAATGATGATGGTGTTGGTGACGCTGATGTTGCCGATGGTCATGGTGATGATGATGTTGGTGCTGGTGATGGTGATCGTGATGGTGATGATGCCGGTGGTAATGGAGGCACGATGCTGGTGGTGGTCATAATAATATTGCTGGTGATCGTGACGATGTTCCGACTGTTGTTTCTGGTATTGAGGATTATGATGATGAGGCCCATTATGATGATGATGCTGATGTTGGTGATGGTAGCGCTGGTGATGATTAGTGCTGATGCTGGGGATGATGATGTACGTACGGCAGTGGTCATAATGACGATTACCATGGTTTTGATCATGTTGGTCACGGTGATGATGATGGTGATGATGATGATGATGGTGGTGGTTATGGTGATGATGGTGATTCTGAGTCCGACCACAAGTATGATCGTGAAAGCGATGATGACGACAGAGAAAAAGTGGAGGTGTGTCGACGATGAAATAGCGTCGACGATGACGGCGGCAACGAGGATGAGCTTCACAAAGGTTTCTTGGAATATCCTCTCGCGCCTCCGAGGCGCGCACCCCAAACTGGCTCCACCCGAGCGCACATGCTGCCTCTCCGGAACATCTGGGAGACGACAGCGACGCAAATTATGATGATCATGATTTGATTGATGATGATGATGATGATGGTCCTGGTCATGATGATGACGGTGATGATGGTGGTGGTGATGATGATGAGCAAGATGATGATGATGATGATGATGAATGATGATGCCGGTGATGATGTTGGTGATGATGATGACGATGATGATGATGGTGATGGTGATGGTGATGTTGATGGTCACAGTGATGGTGATGATGATGTTGATGATGATGGTGACGATGATGAATTTCATGAGGGTGTTGGTTGTGATGATTGTGATGATGATGACATTAATGATGTTGATGATGATGACGACGATGATGATGATGGTGATGGTGATGGTGATGTTGATGGTGACAGTGATGTTGACGATGATGACGACGACGATGTCGATGATAATGACGGTTATGATGGATCGCGCCGTTGTGCTTGATTTGTTTTCACGAATCCGGAAAAGTCACTTGCATGAAGTCGGGCCTTGGTTGAGATCCAGACTGCGCGCTGGGAGACACCTGTTCCTCGCCGCCCAAGAGCGGAGCTCTCATGATGTCGATGAAAATGAGGTGATGATGAGGAGGATAAGGATGGTGATGATGGTGGTGATGCTGATAATGTTAATGATGCTGATGATCATGCTGATCATGCTGATCATGCTGATGACGATCGTGATAGTGATGATGATGATGATGATGATGATGGTGGTGAGGATGATGATGATGATGATGATGATGATGGTCCTGGTCATGATGATGACGGTGATGATGGTGGTGGTGGTGATGATGATGAGCAAGATGATGATGATGATGATGATGATGATGATGATGATGATGATGATGATGATGATGATGATGATGTTTCTGATGATGATGATGCCGGTGATGATGATGATGATGAGCATGATGATGATGATGATGATGACGATGATGATGATGGTGATGATGGTGATGATTATGATGATGATCACGATCGTGATGATGATGATGATGATGATGATGATGATGATGTTGATGTTGATGACGACGACGACGACGGCGAGGACGAGATTCAGAAAGACGCCTGGGATGACCTTCGCGCACCTTCAAGGCGCTTTCAGGCGCAACCTATAATTTCACAAGAGCGCAGTGGCGCCCCACAGCCCTTTCAAAAAAATAGCTCTGGGGCATACTTTCCCGGAAGCCTCTCCGGTAACATTTGGGTGACCACGACGGCGACGCTTATCGTCATGATGGTGATGAGGATAGACGGTGATGATGGTGGGTGATGGTACTGCTTATGATGATGTTGATGCTGATGCTGATGCTGAATGCTGATGCTGATGCTGAGGATGATGGTGATGATGATGCTGATGCTGATGCTGATGCTGATGATGATGGTGGTGATGATGATGATGCTGATGCTGATGCTGATGCTGATGCTGATGTTGATGCTGATGATGATGATGATGATGATGATGATGATGATGATGATGATGATGATGATGATGATGATGATGATGACGAGGAGGATGAGGAGGATGAGGATGAGGATGAGGATGAGGATGAGGATTATGATGATGATCGTGGTGTATCACGCCGTTGTGCCTGACTGTTTCGTGGAGTTCAGAAAAGTCGTCGACGCGGGGCCGCAAGATACCCGGACTACGCGCTGGGAGTCACCTGGCCCTCATCGCCAGTGGGTAGAGCTCCTCGAGCCGCGAGATGCCCAGAGACTCGGGGGGTGAGGGGATGACGGGGGGGAGGCAACAGCACAGCAGGAGAGGAGGACGTTGGGGGGGGAGGCAGCGGAATGGGAGGAGTTGGAGCAGGAGGAGGAGGACCAGTGCAGACCCAAGACGCATGAACGATGCTACAAGGAACCCTCGTTCTCAAGTTCGGCCTTCACAGGCCACTGCAATCGTTTGTTCTCAATGCGGGGAGCGGCCCATTAGAAGGCAATCGTCACGGAGTCTTCGATCCTACCAAAACACCTTGCTCCTAGGATTAAGTCGGGCCTGTCCCTCTACAGGAGGGATATTCCAAAATAGTCAAAAAGTTAGTCTGGGGACTGTTTGTTTACTATGTTTGGGCATCTCTTTGGCATTTTCGATTATGGTTAACTTTTCGTCCAAAATCCCCCTGTAGGGGGACACGCCCGACTTAATCCTAGGACTCAGCGCCGCGGATACACTTGGCTGCAGCGCCCCGACAGGTGTGAACCGCGCCCGAACAATATTCCCGGGACTTCCACAACGCGAGCCAACGTACCCTCTGCGTCCTGACAGTTTTCAATCGTGCCAGAAACCCGTGATTGGGACCTCAACTCTACGAATGTTTTGAACATGTCGCTAACGTTTGAGACGAATGTCCGCGGCGCTAAGGCGAGAGCCACGTTTTG